TAAACTTCCAAATTCCAAAATGGTGAAAATAATAATAATAATAAATAGGACAGTCACAAGGTGCATTTATCGTTTATCGACACTTCTTTTTACACTTACTTACCTACTACAAGACATTTGAATACAAGAAATTTTGATTTTTGATTTGATAACAATTGACAAGTTATTGATTGTTAGAAAAAAAAAAGTTTATTTTTGTACAATTGAACTTACGAAACTACCGTTTTGTCACTTCCTAGGAAACGGGTAAGTAAGTATGACTTTTAATTGGTTGTTTTTATGGGTTTTTATCATCTCAAAATAATTTATTACATATCTCTAAGTCTACAAGAACATACTTAGCTAGCTTTAAAGTTAAGCTTTAAATACTTAGGTCGTAGTGTTATTAGAATTATCATAACAGCACGATAATTCTAAAAACACCATGCGCTAAGTATTTAAAGCTAAACATTTTTTTAATGTTTATCGATCATTACTCCCTTTCAAAGAAGCTAATGGTCGATAACAATAGGTGTACTACTCTACGACACAGGCGCGCGCGCACCTGCACCGTTGCCTTTGAAGAGCGCCGCGTGCCTCGTGCCGCTTGTTTATAGACACCGCCAAAAAGCACCGCTGGCAATACGTCGCAATAGTTTGCACTGCGTGGCAACGTCGCTTTTTAATGTTCAAGGATTCAAGTTCATTGAATCATTGACTTAGTGACCCAATTCTATAGAGAGTTCAAATTTCCTTAAAATTAAAACTCTATTTTTTTACCTAATTACTGGACCGATTATGTTCATTTTTTGTATATCGTCAGCAAAGGCGATACCAAGTATGTGGTTTCATTTATTGCCTATATGTGGGACCCATTCTGTATATATATACTAGCTGTGCCCGCGGCGTAGCTCGCGTATATAGGCTTTACTTGGAAAATTTGACATTCAGGTAAGAAAATATTAAACGATTTATATCATTACTGTATCAATATCACTTATTAGAATCTCTGGTTAGTGCGTATATACACTAAGCGCTCCGTCTCTCTTTTCGCATACATGTCCACTATAAATTGGTAAAACAACCCCCGAAATCTTCGCAGATACGCAAGAAGGTGAAATGGTAATTGGATAAAATATAATTTTAATAATGTTCTTGAAGCGCCGTCACATGCCTGCGCATGAGAAGCGCGGTTCAATGTGCCAGGTTAGTATAAATTCCATAGTATTTGATACTCACAACGCTCGATGCTTGATTTATGCTTGATGGCCGACGACATTGTGCCGAGGACTTAAATAGAGTGGTTCATCGCCTACAGCGTTAGTTGTAGAGAAGAAGAACTCGTGGTTAAGTAAAAGCCGCGTGGGTGAGTTCAGGAATGAGTGACCATTTTCTTAACATACCGAGACTGAAAGAATAGAGAGTGTATTTGTATCTTCAGACACTTGGTGCACTTTACTCTGTTAAGATCTTTATATTTTTAAAATCCATGCAGCTAAAATGATAATAAGTTTATTATTACTTTATACTTTTCAGGGACAGGTGAAAGAATACAAACATGAAGCATGCTGCCTCCATAAGCATATTGGCCTTTAAACAGAGCAATGTTATTTAACTGATTTTTACAAGTATCCTTACTTAAATTATTGATTTTACATTCATATTTAAGTAGAATGTAAAAATAAACTTCTGTAATGTATTTAATTATTAATTATTAAATTATTGTATTTACCAAAAGTAAAACTTATATGTAAAATAAAGTAGCCATTATGTACTCTAGTTTTTATTTCCCGATCAAAACATTTTATAACTGATATGGATTGTAAATTGTTATATACTTAGTTAAGTATGTTCCTAGTTATATTAACAATATGTTAAAGAAGAAATTCCGGGAAAACTGTCCATGGCAGTAAATATTTTTCTTCAAAGATCATAACTCGAAAATACAACTTTCCGATCTCATTCTTGGGAAGTTTTTTTAAGTTTATCGGGATTTTTCCATTTGAATTCAAATCCAACGAAATGTTCAACTGATTCCCAGGAACAGTTATTCAATTTCATGCACTAAAGAATTTTTTGTAAATCTTTTTACCGCTTCCTTAACAATCACTTTTCGATAGTCCTTTTGACTAAAATGTACATCACTAGCTAACGCACACAATGACAAATAGAAATTATTCGCGCATTTTCGGGCTGTCAGGTCGTCTATACGCCAGTATATTCTAAGTCTATGGGTTGAGTATAGGGTACGAATACTAAGTCTTTATAGACACACGGTACTTATGAGAATCCAATTTGTAATCCTAATTCTAAATATCCGCCCCGGCTTAGCACAAATGTCTTCTAGATATCGACAACAGCGCTACTTACCGTGTCTAGTTGTGAATGTAGGTGTCCACCAAAATCGGTCCAACCGTTCTCAAATGATGATCTTTCATACAGGCCGCAGTTAATGTTAATTTATATAGATTTACAACTTGCTTAGCGGAAAACTATCGACTACATTCAACAATGCTTTTTCTGTTTGCCTGAAAATATTTCGACATCATGAAGTTAAGGCAGAATCTTGATAATGCCGTGTAATGGCGGCGCAAAAGAACGCACTACCTCTTACAAAATAATATGTATATTATTACTTAGAAGCTCCAAAACCCCATAACATCATGAGTATCTTAAAAGAGGACAGACGGAAATAAAACAGGAGATAGACAACAGTATCAATCATATTAGATAACAACACAAAATAATAAAAAATGCGGTTGCCAACCCACTTGCTATGAGAGGGAATTATGGCAAATATTCCCTCTCGTCCTCCGACAAAAGAAAAGGTAGACCGCGGTCGTGCCGCTGTAATTGAACTATCGTAGCAGTGCCTCCTGTGTACGTTCCGTGAAGCAAACCCAGTGTCGATTAAACAAACACAGTTATTATTGCATGTAGAACCCATAATAAATCTAAGGATAATTTGGCGGAAATATACCGGCTGAATTTAAGTAGATTTCCTATATATATATATATATTAAATTACACAACGATAGTACGAAATTGCGCATTATTCGACTAGGTATTTGTTCTCAAGTACATGTGCTAACAACGTCGAGTTGAACCTCTGTTCCTCCGTGGCGCGTTACAGACATCCTTCCATTATTGATTCGTACCTACGTCTACGTTGTGAAGTTTCTAACTACATGATGTCTTTAGAATTTGGACCCTTAATTGTTACCACACTACTCAATAAATTTGAGATATCCGTATTATTCTTTGCTGATTTTCTATTTTAATTAAATAAGAGAAACGTTTATAGGCCTTACATTTAAACCCGTAAAAACTAAACTCTGAAACTAAATATAAAACCTACTTATACTACTTTTTTATAGGATAGGGTGACAAACGAGCACACAGTTCAGCTGATGGTAAGTGGTTGCTGTGACCCATAGGCATCTACATTTATCCTCAATAAAGAATCAAAATGCAGATGCGTCGTCACCCGTGAGGACTAAGATGGAAGGCCTCTTTTAAGTTTTAGGTCTCCGGTTCTCTACACTCACCATACAAAACACAGCAGTGTCAAGCTGCCATTTTTCGCTGGTATTCTGTGAGAGCGTGGTCCTTCCCCAGTAGAGCCGACCCATTCGTGCTACAACCATACTACTAATATAGCTGAAGCATGGCTCTACCACGTATAAATATATTTACACATCTATCTCTCATTATATCTATATAAATAAAATGATAGAGGTTGTAGTTGTGCGCACGGCACGGAAAAACTAATGGATAGACACTTGACCCTTATCTAAAACAAAAATATTGCGATATTTTCTTTTTATATAAGAGGAGGCAAACGAGCATACGGCTCATTTGATGATGAGTAATTACCGTCGCCCACGAACAACTGCAACACTAGGGGAATCGCAGGCCTTTAAGAAAAGAGTAGGCTCTTTTCTCGCAGATCCCTAAGTCGTGTCGGTCTGGAAATATTGCTGGTGGTATTCTATTCCACAAGGAAGTCGTGCGGAGAAGAAAACTTATTCTAAATCGCACAGTAGTGCACCACCAATGACCCCAATAGTACGGATGGTATTTCAAGTTCTCTCGCAATGTGTGATGGTGAAATTGAGAATTAGTCAGAATAATTCCTCTGAACTCTCCCCGTGATACATACGATAGAATACGCAAAGAGATACAATATCTCTTTTCCAGCGCCAATGAATCAAGCCGAAAAGAAAGATCTCAGTCGCCTACGATTCAAACCAATCTGCGATGGATGCGATCAAATAGAAGGAGCTGGCACTTGGAAGCCCCGGCCCAGAGATAGGAACAGTATTCCTTGTGTGGCCAAATCTGCGCCTTGTAAAATTGCAGGCGGTGTTACGGCATGAATAACTGTCCCGCTCTGCTGAACACACCAAGTTTTTTAGATACCAATTTGGCCTCCTCTTCCAAGTCACCACGAAACTGCCCGTAATTCGATATGTCGAAACCTAGAATCTCAATGTCTATGGGCGCAGTTCTATGACTTACTCATTGATTTACCGAATTGCAGATTATATATACAATAATCTATGTGCAGATTATTATATATGCACAGATAAGATAACTTTATAATAGTGATAGTAGCTTTATACATTCTTATTAATTGTTAATGTCCTTTAGAATATTTTAAAGGGTAATTAACAATTTAAAATATATAAAAATCCTATATAAATATAATGTTTAATTTTCTCGAAGTTATGTTCAAATGATTAATTGAATGAATTGATTCATACGTTTGGAATTTAAGAGCTAGGTAGACCTGACAACACTTTTTTTTGGTCTTTCTCTCGTACAAGGGGGTATAAGGTACAGTTCGAATTGATTAATTTTTTCACCAGCAGTTATTAAAATTCTTTGTTGTGAGTGAGTATAATTGAAATATAATCACAGTGAGTTACTTTAAGCTGTTTCTAGACACGTGCGAATGTTTTACAGGAACGCATCATAACATCTACTTTGCTTGGGTGTTTCATGTTTTCATGTAAAAAATGATCGAGTTTACAGTAAAAACATTGGACTCCAATAATCACCACTTTTCAGTGGATGATGAGGTAAGTCATTATGTTTTATTTTCTGTTTTTATAAATAAATTACGCTTTTTGACTTTTGGTTATGTGCTTTGTAGAAGTGCCATAGAGCTTATGTCTTGAAACCCTGTGATCGTAATAACTGTAATTAAAATATTTTCCATCTAAAAAAGTACGCCTATACGCGTTTTGTATTGAAGCCGATATTAGGCATCTCGATTCACTTAAAAAAATATCGATCTTCGATTCGATTCAAATCGAACAAACTGGAATCGATTCTTGATTAAAACGAGCATTTAGAGATCGATTTTCGATTTATAGCGACAATTTCAAACATACTTAATATAGACACAGAATTCATCATTGTTGATAATTTACTGTAAATACAAGTAATTGGATGGAAATATCATTAAATTAATTAACATCACGCTTGTATTTCCCCAAAGGAATAGGCACTCCCACTTTTCCCCAGTTATGTTAAACTTCCCATCCCAAGTCCAGACTCCGTGCTATATTTTACTGGCAATTTTAAGTTAGAAAAACCCAATAATACTTTGCCCGACCCGGGATCTAACCCAGGTCCTCTTGCTCAGCAGTCGTGCTTGCTACGAGGTAGTTTAAATCTCTAGTCTAGCCAAAGTAAGTCAGTCATTAAATTAATCAAATTTTAAGTTTACTTATAGTTACTGCATATTTTTGATAAATAAAGTAAATTCACAGCACAGATTAAGTTAGACGCCGGGATCCATGGGTTAGATTGGAAATGACAATGACCATTTTTTTTAATAATTATTTTTATTTGATGCATTCAATTGTGTCCGACAACAACAAAAAATAAAAAAACTATGATACTGCAACCAGTTTAGGAACTGTATCGCTACTTGTTGAATCAATCTGTTTCGAGAGGTTTTTGGATCGAGTCATCATTGATGTAGTGTTCCCAAACGATCTGAAAAATCGATTATTTTACTCTAAATAATTGATTAATTGATTTGAGATCAACATGCCTAGCTGATATGTTGCACAAAATTATTTTGCAAATATTTTTATAAGCATGTTTGGCAAATCTAGCAATGTCATCTAAAAATGTGAATAATAAAAGTAATTGCCCACAGAAGACATGTGTATGTTTAAAATTTTAAACCATAATGCCTAGAATAAGTATTTAATATTTTGTGTGATTTATGTTATGATTAAGAGCCTAAAATTATAGTATATTAGTAAAATACAACTAATAACTACTAACAAATTCAGCTAAACCAATGGATATGTTGATTATTTTTTATTCCACCCATATGTTTTGTCTCCGATGATTTAATAACAACATTTACCTCTTTAATTAATAAAGAAAATAAGGGAGTATTACAAATTGTAGGTCCGGTGACAGTGATACTGATACAGAACTACAATTTGTTTCTAAGTGCAACAACTCATGACATCACCAATTGGTGCATTCTCATAGTGTTTTAGACAACACACTGTCAATGTTCATTTGTTCATGATTTTATGTATGTTTCTAGACAGGCAACTGAGTCTGATTAAACCCAGCCGATATCCAACTTCACTATTGAGTATTTAGTAGATAGCACCTATGATCCAACAGCCAAGATTTATATGTACAACAAATAATATGTAATTCCACAACTATTATATACACCAGGAGAGCTGTGCTGGCATTCAAAATGAGTCAGAGCTTTAATTAAATTATTTTGTATACTTTCTATCACATCTACATTCTCAATTTTCCATATAATGTTTTGGTATAACTGTTACTGTTACAGAAGTTATCAAAAGTTCACTGCTGAATATAGACTTCTCTTAGATTGCATTATGAGGGGATGCTTGCCATAGTTGCTATGCTTGACAGGCGGGTTGCTAACTGCAGTTTTTTATTACTTAGTTGTTATTAAGAAGACACTGCTGCTCATCTCCTGGTTTGTTTCCCTTCAGTGGCCTGTTATGACACATATGGGACAATACGGGCCAGTAGATATTCTTACACCACTAGTAGATGGTCAATAAGTATTAGAGTCAAACATTTAAGTTTATAATTATGACACTTATGAAATTACAATGTAATCTACTTACAAATAATCCAAATTTAAACAATGATTTGTTGCTTTTGTTGTTTTTGTACATTTACTATATAGCTGTGCTATCTATAATTAATTATATTTTTATTGATGTTTATGTATCAGTATTTATAATTGTTTACTGCTTTGTTTGGTGATGATGTAATCCTTGTTAATGTAAACCATGATTACAACTTCTGAAATCAATCAGGAAATGTCCACTTCTCATACACTTTCAGCAGTCCTTAATTGTGCCTTAATCACTATGCTTTTGATAACTACTCTATTGTATGACAATAATAGTTAATAATTTTTAATTACATTACATCATAAGGATTATGATGCTAATGTGGCTCATGACTGAAGTGGTGGAAGCTCAAAGATCCAACAAACTATATTGAAGAAAGGTTGAAAGTTTCTCGGATGGAAGTATTCTACCTAATAGCCCATGGGCTTGACACCCATGGGATTAGATAGAGTATGATTACTCCACTACCGTGGTATTTTATAGTGTAGTGTTGTGTAGTGTATATGTATAGCAATGGGCTGGCCATATAGCTAAAAGATATGAGGAAAAAGTTTCTCGAGTGGCAGCCTCGTACTGGCAGCCAAAGTGTAGGGCATCTCTCCACTAGATGGAGTGATGACCTTGTAAGAAGTTGATGGATGCAGGTGGTTCAGAACCATGCTTTGTGGCATATCTTAGGGGATGCCTATGTTCAGCAGTGGACTTGTGAAGGGCTGTAATGATGATGGTGTTCAGTAGAGTATGTATTGTGGACACTACCAGTGTATGGTATTATAATGTATAACTACCAGTATGGTATAGTTATACACTATACCATACATTGGTAGTGTATATGTATGTAATAATCACAAGAATATACCTCTCTTGTTTTCTTCAAATGCTAGCCTTAGATGTTCCTTGGTAACAATACACTATACCATACATTGGTAGTGTATATGTATGTAATAATCACAAGAATATACCTCTCTTGTTTTCTTCAAATGCTAGCCTTAGATGTTCCTTGGTAACAACATACAAAGTTTTGGGGCCTACCAAATGACAAAAAATCCATGCAAATATATCATGACCCCACATCACATAAATTAGTGCTAAGAAATATTTACTGGATGGTGAATGTGATTACCTTTCAATAAATTTAGAAAAAAAGAACAACAATTATCTCTGTATGGAGGCAGTAGGTTATTATTATTGGTCCGTTCAACATGTTGCCTGTTAGAACTCTAGAAGCAATATTTTAAACATTGACAATTCATTTCAAGTCCAGTGTTAAATTTAGTTTTTCCGTATTTGATACGCGGGAAATTTTTTGATCACCAATATAAATTAAAATGAAAACTTGTAAACTTAGAACTTTTCTTCTTAGATTGATTTGTTACGATATGTTATATTGTATGATGGTTACACGAATAATATTCTGAAACTGACTTCTGAGTGTTTGAGCTTTTTAATACTGTTAGCAATGTGCCACCAGCCCATTATGGAACCATTATGGTCACAGTGGTGACAAACGAGCACACAGTCCACCTGATGGTGAGTGGGTGCTGTGGGTACATAAACATCTACATTTATCATCGATCAAGAATCAAAATGCTGATGCGTTGTTAACCCTGAGGGCTAAGATGGAATGCCTCCTTTCCAGTGAAAAGTGTCTCCAGTTCCTACACTCATGATAGGAAACAAAACAGGTTTAATTTATTATTTTACGAAGGTATTATGTTGGAGCGTGGTCCTACCCCAGTCCTATCCATTCATGCTACAACTATAGCTGCAGTGTGGCTCTACGCTGTTAAGCGAATGTTTTCATGTTTAGTATACAATGTAAATAAAAATGCTTCCGAAATCAAACAATATCCTTTCAAATAAATTTGCTATCATACACTCTATGCTCTTAAAAGGCTATGCTTAGTTTAAAAAAATATAGTTAATTGCTGTGCGTACACTAGACTTCATTAGCAAATAATTTAAAGCAGATTTGAGAATTAAATATAAGAAAAATAATTTTTAATGAAAATTTATGTGATACTCTTTGTTTTTTGTAGCTGGGTAGATGCCTTAGCTTGTGATCTAAGTGCAACAAGACATTAACAACTTTACAATAATAAATATAAATATTGATGTCAATTTAATAAATGCTAAAGTTGCTCTCCCTCTATTTGCTAAATGATAATAGAAAGAGACATGTGTACAGAAAATTCATGTTTAATTTAAGTAAGGGATAATCAACAACAAGAACATTAAATTAAAGGATAATAACATTCTTGAGTTGATTTTTTTTAAATTACCAGAAAGGAGGTAAAGCACGCTGGATAAGATAGTTGGGTTCGTTATTGCTTAAGGATTCTTCTGGGTATGGACCCTTTCCATCCATTGTCTTAACTATTTCTGTTACCAAGCTGCAGTGTGTCTACTGTAGTTTCAATTTCAAGGATAATAATTGCACCTTTTTGGCATCCCGTTTTTGCCTTTAGCCTTTTGCCTGAAACATCCATCCTACATCTTGACCCTAGTCATAACACCTTGCAAACCACACTTTTCTCTTATCAAAACTCACCTATCATTCAGAGTTACCCCTAACATACTTAATGACTTATTCTATAAATTATGATAGCGACTAACATTGCATTTTTAAATACCACACTTGCCTTATTGACACATTGTGACATTCCAAAGTAGAGTGAAGAGCGCAATTTACTTTGTGTTCACTCTTCTTTCTATATCCTTGTCATGTATACCATCTCTGCTAAACACATTTCTAAACGAACACGCGGGCGAAGTAGCGGGGAACAGCTAGTACCCCGCGACTTTGCCCGCGTGTAATTTAGGGTTTTAATTTTTATTGCGACGTATCTATATATATATTTTTTTTTTCTAAAATAAAAGTATCCTAAGTTACTCCTTATGACATCAGCTATCTGCCAGTGAAA